TGTTCAGAATGTCTTTACAAAAAAAAAACAGTTTTTTTTTCTGTTTTTTTTTTAGTTTTGATTTGTTTGCACTAGGACATTAAGTGAGTGACAAAGTGGAACGTAGTAGACAAAACGGTTTACTCGTGGATTGGCTCCGAAGAGTTTTTCACTGCACTTTGAAAGCATTAAATTGTAGAAAGACAATCAATAAAGAATATTTTGGAGATTATTTTCGCGGAAAAGGTTGCTGATTGCAGGACATTTTCATGTGTGACAATGGTATTAGGACGAGACAATTGCTGCTCACCTGATTTACCATCCGACCGATCACAACCGCGAGGATGGACGAGGGTGCCGATTTCACGAATAAATAAATACTGATCTAAAGGCGTCATATCAGTAGGCATTCTTTATTTATTAAATTCAGCTTGAAAGCAGGTGGAGTCCTGAGAGGAAGCGTGGTGGTAACATCACTCGATTATTTCACGCATGGCATCGCATTGATAGTTTTTATCACATCACTGTCGCGTCACCACAAAATCATGACGAAGAAACGCTCACACAACCACGATTTTGAGACAACCTCGGTGTCAGTGGAGAACACGAAACGAACGAAGAGAAGACAACGGCCAAGGCTTCTGCGAGTGTCGAACTGGGGAGAGAGACACAGAGCACTTTGACGTCAACCACACGACTGATGAATTATCATATCATCACACACAAAAAAACACCGCGAAAAAACGTTCACATCGCCACGAGGTTGCAACGGGGTCTGAGAGGCGAGCACACTAAGCGAGTGAAGAGAAGCCATCGGAACGTCGACGGCGACTGAGTTGGACGATGAGGCGATCGTTTAATTCTCGCATTGTAACACAAACAATACCATGCACAAAAGCGGATACCAGTACAGCTCTGGGATGTAATCCCGTGTCACTTCGAGAAGCCGGTGTATTTCGGCGGAGCGAACGTTGAAAACTCCGTGCGCCATGTTGAAAACGATATTCTGGCAACACGACACTTAAGTGACGTCAAAATATGAGTGGAAGCGATTAGCTGTCGGTGTGATACGAATCCCTCTGAGGCAAATTTGGCGCTGAATTCCTAAATTGTCGCATACCATAGAATACTCTAAGCATACATACCTCTACAAATCGCAGCTATATTTTTAACATTCACCCATCACGTGATATGCAGAATTGCATTTTATGAGAAAGGCAACTGACGCCCAAGGTTAATGTCACACTTTCTGGCACTTGCAACAACGTTTCCCAACACGTCGCAAGGCCGTTCTTTTTTTCTTTTTTTTGTACTTTCGTTTCTTGCAACGTCGACGAGAACGTACAGACCTGGGAAAGGGGACATCGTGCGGGTTGACTCTTAACATGTTGATTTGTTGACTTGAGGCGCGGGCGAAAACGTGCAATCTCGGTTCCAGCGTTTGGCAGCTAGCCAAGGTTAAGTCTCCTGTAGCTTTCATTGCGCTAGACTGCGGGACGCGATGCGACGAACGCTGGCGAAGCCTGAGTTAGCTTTGGTTAGAATACACCCCGAATTAAAACGCTTAGGCTTCCATCAAACTACGGTGAAAGACAGATCTGTTCACGGGAGTTACGATGAACAAAATCACTTCTTTAACCCACTATCGTAGGCTAGGTAGATAACCGAAAATGTGATGCGGTGTCGAGATAAATGCTATCGCAGTGCCGCCGTTTTTGACTCGGCAGCACCTCCGGTATCATAACTCCGAAAACGAGACGTCCCGGAACAAAGTAAGATGAAAGAGTGGCGCCGCGCAGCGGCTTCCTCGTGAACGACACTACCCAGAGAATGGCGTCTGAGACAACTCCGAGATCCGACGCACGCGCGCCGGATTTCGGAGGCCATGAAGAAAGAGCGCAGCAAAACTAATTAAAAAGAAAAAAGAGAGCGCGCGGTCTTAGCAGAAATCATACTTGTAAGTAACTTAAATGCTCTACTCAAGTTACTGTATCTTAAATACTTTTGTGAGTAACTTGGTATCTTGCAAATACTTTCGAACGTTCAGTATTTAGTACTCTAACTTAAATATTTTTTTTTCAAGTAACTTGTACTCAATTTAATGTTACTTTTAAGTCACTTTCTATTTTTTATTTTCTTCAGAGGGGGAAGCTTGGAAAATATTGAACTCCAGTAATTTCGGCTACGCGCCCTGCCATTGCAGATCTTGCAGATTCATTTCGTGCCAGGTGATACAGTGATACAGTGCACTTCCGTTCTTCTGCTGAAAGAGGCGACACAGAGAACCGGGTGTCGTAGCCTCAAGCCGAACGGACACGTGTCGTGTCTTCTAACAGGGCAAAACGTCGAAGCCCATTTTCTTACAATTTGTTTGTGGCCAAGCCCAAGAGCAACAGAGATTCTGAAGCAGAAGGGCATTCGGGTGAAAGCATACGATATGTACAAGGATACAAGCCAGAGGGAGAACACTTGTGTCGGAGAGAGGGTAGGTTCCACAACTGTCTGGTAAGAGTCGACAGTTAACCGGAGTTTATGTTTCTATGTTTTGGAGTGAAAGCATGTAAAAGAAAGCCTTCCAGCTTCAGAAATGCCTTTGTATCCGCAATCCGCACGCAGTCGCACACATCGCTCGTTCGTTCCATTAGGCTCTCTTCGCACACAATACTCGTAAGACGCGACTACACTGCTCCAATCCGGCGGCCCATCGGTCGCGGCGTACGCAGCATTAGCGAGTTTTAGTAGACCGTGTTTCCCCCTCCGCTAATCCTCCGCTACGAAGAAACCGCCACTGTGCCTGCGTGCCGATGGCCTTGGCTGTAGAGTTCTGGGTAGCGGAGGGTCTTAGCGGAGGGGTCTACTAAAACTCGCTATTGTCTTCGGTAGCATAAATGACCGCCGGCGCCCACCATGGTGGCGCCCGCTCTCCCCTGGCCTGGGCTCCCCGACCCCGACTGCACGGCACCGCCAGTGCACTGACGGGAGAAGCGGAAATGAACACCCGACACAACGGGAGCGTCGGAGGCGAGCCTCTGTGTAGAAATTCCCTCCGGAGGCGAACGGGCCCCGCGCTGCCCTCGCCTTTGTCCTCGCGTATGTCCTCGCCTATGTCCTCGCCTATGTCCTCGCCATTACAAGGGTATAAAAGAAAAACATATTTATTTTTGTTTCATTCGTAGTTCCTTGGGACCTCCTAGAAGCCTGAGTGGCAGCCAAAGTCTAGCTAAGAGATTTCCAGGAGATTCCGTAGTAGCTGGGAGGAAGAATGTTTTCTGACTTCGGTTGTGCTTGACAATGAATTGCAGCGAAAATTGTAACTTGAGAGCATCTTGAAAGTAACGAGTTACTTTTTTTGGAGTATTTTGGACTTCACTCAATTACTTTACAAATTTGAGTACTTAGTACTCTACTCAGTTACTATTTTTCCTGGTACTCAGTAACTTAACTGAAATACTTTGGGCGAGTATCTTGTACAAGCCTGGCAGAAATGCAAAAAGGTATGAGCTCCGGAGCTCTCTGGTTTAGCGTGTGCTATAAGTAGATCGCGTTGCTGGCGTCGCTCAACATTTGACCACGTGATACGACCCGCGGTAGAAAATCGGATCTAGTCGATCAAGACGCTCTGTTCGGCTAGCACTAGTGTCCATTCAATGAGGAGACGAGCGCTGCTGAGGCATTCAGCTGGAACTCGGATTTCTTCGTCCGTCGCTGGAATGGAAAAACGCAAACGGTTAGGTGTGAATTCTCGTCAAGTACGTGTAGCCTTAAACGATTTTGTAGAAAAAAAGTGAAATAAAAATAACATAATGCCGAAAGCTCCGAATTATACACGCACAGATAGAAATAACAGGAAGGACAACATGAGAAAGTATTTAAGCGTATAAGTGTGGACCCAATGCCGTGTTTTAGCTTATGCAATCAGATACACTGTTAGTAAAGATATGAGCGAATCAGTTTACCCGTGTACAAATGTAGAAAACGGAATGTACACGGTAAGGCGCTGCGGCTTCCTCGTGCACACATCACAGATACACATTGCTGTCTCTGTGGTGCGGCCAGAATGCGGTTGACCTTTAAACAATAAAATTGGCGCTCGAATTTTGTTGTAGCACCCCTTTAAGTTATCAAAAAAATATGACGAGAAAACATGCGTTTCTTATTCTGGCAAAATGTAGGCGACAAAAGGCAAAACAATTTTATTTTATTTCCTTTAATTTATTAGTTATAATAAACGCCATGGCCCCACAATGATGCGAAAGAAAAGTTTGGGTAGACGTTCAACAAAAAAATATTTAAGTTTTTTTTTTTTTTTTATACGGGACTTTATATTTTTTACTGACAAGCAATACATTCACAACCTACCCCCACCTCTGCCTTTCTGTAATAAATTAAAGCACGTCGTTAAAAAAAAAATCAAATTATGTGGTAGTCTCAATGAGCCAATGCGCTGTAGAGCCGGTCGACAATACATTTCATGTCTGCTAAGCTCTTGTGTTTCAATTTCGATTTGCAACATTTGCTTATACCCCCTTTTTTGTCAAACTGAGCGGTAAAAGCACAGAAACCGCTATATTAAAGTGCATGTCTGATGATATACGAGATATGCGAGCTTCTGTAACAGACTGGCAAATTTGTAAGGGGTTTGTGGCAGAAAAAAAAAACATTTTGCCGAAGTTTTTTTTTTATATATATACCTTGAGTTTGGACTAATCAGAAAGTTACACATGTGATCATTTTTATCATAACAATATGTGGTTTAAGATTGTAAATAAATTCGGACACTAAGCCCGAAATAGACTGCACAAGGCGCGAATGGCCAGCACGAAGTCTCGTGATGTCCGTCGTCTTTTCTCCTCTCTCATGTCATTATGGGTCAGCTGATATGAATAACGAATGAATTCTCGGAATGAAGCGATTCACACAGATATTCCAAGGTTTCACCGTGTCACTGCCGTCCGTTACGCCAATACACTTGCCGTTCCTAGGCGCAATAATGATACAAACAACAGTCTATCGCCCCCAAAATGACTGACAAACCGGATCTATGCCAAACTGTGAAATTATATGCGACATATAGGAGAGTGTTCTCTATCGGTATGTATGAGCAGGCACGTAGCAAGGGGGGGGGGTTGCATGGGGCCTGCCCCCCCCCCCCCATATCTTACATTTTGCTGGGACCTCCTCCCCCCCTCCCTCTCATACAGCATTTTGTCACGCCCCCCCTCTCCCCCCCCCCCCCCCCCCCCCCCCCCCCCGAAACAAAATCCTGGCTTCGTGCCTGCGTGCGTTGTAGTCGCCAAGTACAGCCCGCGGCTTCATATTATCTGGCACCTAAGCCATTCACCTACTCAAAAATCCCAAGAAGAGAAAGTGCTTGCTTATCGACCCATCGTCCATCGCAAAGGGCGAGTGCGCCAGTCGTCTAAAGCACGTAACCTCCAAGGTCATGCTGCTATGTTTGTATATATGTTTATTATTTGTGTAAGTTGTTTCCGTCCATCGAACTGCAGCAAGCCAGAAACCGGAATGCAGATCTTCAGCGATTACCCAGCCCTCCAATCATAGAAACAAGTCTACACACCGGATGGAACTTACGTATGTTTATTATTTCGTGCAGAGTTTAGTTTGGCTCAAAAGGGCTTGTAGCGCGCATCGAAGCAGTTGGTGCCACATTTTAAAACACAAACAATTATGACTCCTCCTCTTCGCTTCTCTCCAGGACAACCACACTTTACTTCACTTTTTTCGACCAATGTCATCGCGGTGTTGTGTTTGGTGCTTTCAAGTGTAGCGGCCGCAACTGATGTTCCAATCGTGCGCACGGATTCGGGACTCGTCGCTGGAACGCGCATCGAAGTGGGTGACAATACGGTCGATGCTTTCCTCGGAATACCTTATGCGGAACCACCAGTAGGAGAACTTCGATTCAGACGTCCAGTCCCGGTTAGCCCTTGGAATGGAACATACAACGCAACAAGTAAGCCGAAAGCTTGCTGGCAGCTAGATCTTCGTTTCGTGGCTAACGCGACTATGAGTTACTCCAATGCATCAGAAGACTGCCTGTATTTGAACGTCTGGAAGCCAGTCAGCTCGTGTTCGGAAGCGAACTCGTGTGCAAAGAAGAGCCCTGTCATAATTTTCATCCACGGAGGAGCGTTTCAGTGGGGTGACTCCGCTCTTTTTCTGTACGACCCAGCTAACTTTGTGGCCCTGTCCGATGTCGTGTTCGTGACCTTTAATTATAGGTTGAGCCTTCTCGGATTCCTTTCACTGGAGACAGCAGAAATGCCTGGTAACGTGGGCCTCTGGGACCAGAATCTCGTGCTTAAGTGGGTTCGAAAAAATATTGAAAGCTTCGGAGGTGATCCGAAGGAGGTAACTCTAAGTGGTCAGAGCGCAGGAGGTATCTCGGCGGGGCTACACGCTATTTCTCCGCACAGCCAAGGTCTTTTCAAAAGGGTAGTCATGCAAAGTGGAACACCGTTTTCATTGATACTCGGGATGGCTCACAAAGGCGCGGGGAAATTTATTAATGCAGCTGGGACGTTGGGATGCTACGACGCAAGGAAGAATCTGAAGGAACAACTAAACGACGTCCTGGTCTGCCTAAGAAAACTAGATGCAAAATCAATGTTCAAAATTTTGCAATCAGCCGACGTAGTACAGCAATTTTTTGCTCCGGTAATCGGAGATGATTTTTTTCCATACAACCTGTTTTCTAAAGAAGCTTGGAAGATGCTTCGCTTTAAAGATATTATACTGGGAACAAACCGCGACGAAGGTACTTTGTTCGTTGACAATCTACGGTCTCAGATTCCAACCCTTGGAACGCTCTTAGCAACCGACTATCGATTGGCCGTAACAGTTGTCCTGGCACCAATGTTCGATATTTCAATTTCCCAATCTCGGCGTATCGTTAACGCTTATTTCGGAGGCGATGATGTGCTCCACAACAGCAAGACGGTTGAAGGCATCTTCAGTAAAATATTCGGGGATGCCGCGTTCAACTGTCCGACCAAGCTGTTCGCTGATATAGCGGCGAGTCAAGGAATAAACACGTATAGGTATCTGTTCACGCACAGACCGTCATTCAGCCTATGGCCAAAGTGGCTTGGTGTCGCACATACAGATGAAATTGTGTTTACGCATGGATCACTGGCATTTATTAATGACGAAAGCCGGTACACCGAACCACTGGGGGACTACGTAAAAACTTTCTTATTGTCCAAAAAGGCAACTCCAGAAGAATACACCTTCATGAAAGAAATCGTCAGCGCATGGAGTTCTTTCATCCATGATGGGTAAGTGTCGCCTTCACCTTATTAAAAATACATAGTGTTTTGTACATTTGAGAAATGGGAGATTTTATGTTTTTATAATGTTAGGAAGCTCTTGCTTTAATCTCCTTCAAGTCTAAACAGCCTGCCCAGTCAAGACCTCTTACACCAGGAGAGATACGACTTAGCTCCTGGTACTACAGCTCAATCAAATTGACTGAGTCGTCAACCATCTTCGATTGCCGTGGAATCGTTTGAAGCGTCACTTTGTGCACGACGCATCGACCGCGCTCCTAGTGCTTGTTACTTTGAATGTTGAAGAGATGGTGATGTACAGAAGTTTAGAATAAAAAACGATCGCTTTATTTTCTTGTTAGTTAATGAAGGGAGGGAGGGGCTGGGAAAAGAATCTGCAGTCAGCCTGACGACTCCCCGGTCGCCTGCAATGGCACCAGCTCGAGGAAGAGTACATGAATAAAACTAAAATTGTTTCCTACACCACGAGCGTGTATCAATTGGAAAGTTTCTTTTAATTGCTCTTGTTGTAAGGCTCTACTGATTCCCGATGCCCTTTAATTTGACGAAACAACCGCGTGATAATATTCTGAGCTGTGAGTACAAAAACATTGACACAATATTTGGCTCGGCAAACAATGACATTTCTCCATGGCTTCTGGTTTATGTATCTCATTTATAAATAAGCCTTCATTTGATGGTGCACTCTGCCGCTTAGCTTATTGTGTCTGCCTCTGCCGCCTGTAGCATACTTCTAGCTTTGAGGTGAACCGACCGGCTGAAGCAATTACACTGCTACCAAATTGATTCGCCACTGCTAAGTGGCAGGCTTCCCAACCATGGCGATGAACCAACTCAGGCACGGCTCTGGCACACGCGTACTATGTTTCCTCACGCATGCATAATATAAAGACGTGTTTTACGTTTCCAAAAAATAAACATTTTCTTTCATAGATGTCACGACAAATTAAGAAATGTTTACCTATACAAATATCGGCGTTGAAGTAAAAAATAAAATTCTGCAGCTAATGTTGTTGGCAGCTTGACGCGACAAGGTGACACCACTTGTCGCAGTCATTGGGCACGCTAAGTCCGTGCTCCTTTACTCCTACTCTGACGCTCCTGCTTTCATACTCCAAACGCAGCAACCTACGTTACTATAGAACCACTGAGTTGGGAAACTGCCATAGAGCATGCTCTGAAAAAGTGGCGCCGATCCTTATCCCAGTACCGAGTACCATTTCAGTACCAGTACCATTTCTCCCTCAGCGGCCACTCCGTGAACTGCACGGATGCACTTTCTGGTTCCGTCGAGTCACGGAAGGGCCGTTGGCACCATCTCGCAGGGCCATCTTGCAGAAAGCAACTTTCATGTTTCACCTCGTCGCTAAAGGGTGGCGCTGTTATCGCATTTAGCGCGGTCTCGGTGGACGCCAGCGGCAAAGGTTTCAAGGGCAAGTTTCCCAACTGAGTGTTTTAGTAACATTGGCAGCTACTAAACGGGGCATAGCGTACAGGAGCGCGAAACACCGAAACTTTCAACGAGCAGCATAAGCCACTTTCGACCGCACGGTTAGGACGAACGCAGCATCTCGTGGATACGGATAGCAGAATCCGAAATTATCTCGAAGATAAATTAATTGAGGCCTGTGGGGAGCGGCTTAGTGTAGAATAAAAAAAGACAGCGAAGATAAGTTTCGGCGAATGCTTTAATATTCCTGGCAGGTTTAAAGACTCGCTTCGAGCACATACGCAAAAGTTACTTCGACCGTTATATTTATTGACCATGCATCCTGTTCAGATTTAAATGAAAGACAGCATTCTGAAACACGCTTGTTGACGCAAGGGACTGTTAAACTTGGCAGATGTTCCGGGGTTCCGTCTTCCAGCGCGAGACGGATCCCGTTGTGCGGTAAAGACCGGCACACCGCCGTTCAATAGATAGCACGCCAATCCGTTCTGAGGCAAGATGCACCCTTTTCCGCAAACGCTAACTGGTGTTTCGGCTTTCCAATCGAAGCATCTTTGTTCGCTTGGCTGAGCATTCTAAAAAGGGCAGCAATCCGACTGTATTCTCATTTCAACAACTTTTCTCACGCTGTGCTGAGAAAATTCATCTACTCAACGCTACCGTTGAATAGATGAATTCGTTTTCAGGCGAGATACACGAACCAACCTTTTCCCGAACACAAAGTGCTGTCTTTTCTTTCAAATCCAATCGTGTTTATTTACCTGCTGAATTAAGCACTATTCAATTGAAAAGGGACAGCGGTCCGACTGCGCCCTTTGTCTCAATAACATTTCTGTCAGAGCAGTCATCTCATTTGTAGACGTGACGTTGCGGAGCGCGAAAAAGTCACTCGCGCTCCAAGAAAAACTCTGTGCACGAAAAGCGCGCTCGAGGTCTCCGGCGGCGTTTCTGTAAACTCTCTCGCTCCGGAGCACGGACTTAACGCGACCATTGTCATGGCGTTCGTGGCTTCCAACTGCTCCTTCACTGTTCCTATTCAGCGCAACGACTTCTCGTTTGTCAAGCAGTCAGTACTCACAGATACATGAATAAGCCAGCAGCGTATTGCCTAGAGAGCAGACGAATGTCACTGGAGACGAACAAGACTAAAGATACGTACGTGTGACTGGTCAATGCTCCACCAGATCTGATAGTATCATGGAAATACGACGACATAATATACTTCAAGCGGACTTCGATAGGACTATGTATTACATACCACTGAGTAATTTTTATAATTTATGGCCTGATTTATACGCTTCCTGGCGCTTAACTATGATGATAACGCTTATAAATATCTAAATACTCTCGAAAGAAAGAAAAGGGCGCCGATGCCAAGTGGGACCGCTGAAACCTTGCAGTAGTCCGAGATTGATAAAAAAAAAAAAATAAAATAAACATAATGGCGGGGTTGTTTTCTATCTTTCATTCTCCCCTGGGGGCTACATACAGGAAGCCAGTGATACCCGTTCCCAACATCAGCTGGCCGCTCTACACCGTTCAAGGCCGCCAGATTCTCTACATGCAACCCAACAATTACACAGCGGCACGTGACTCGGATCAAGACCACTGCGACATTTGGAGGCCCTTCTTACTGAAGAAGTGTGTATGGTTTTTCTATTACTTTGACGCTGAAATTGCGATATTTATAAATTAAATGATTCTCAATGGTTCATGATTAATCAGTCAATCAATGTTTATTTCAGTTCGAGTCCAAGGGCTAAGGGTGTCGAGTCTGATTGGCTGCATGGTTGGGTCATTCTGCCAAACGTGTTTAATGCCGTAGCTTTATAGGGTGAATTGTGTTTTTAATTCCCGTGGTACATAGGGCAGGATGACCTTTAGTCTTTCAGTACCTTGTGTGGGTGGGGATATTAGTTCAGGTGGTGCCTAGGTCATGGTTTTAAATGGAAACATATTACGTCACGTCAGTGTCCATTTGACACTGCTCGCGCTTCACTTCACCACCACCAGGATACAAAACCTTTGGGCTGAATTTTCTTGGTCGATAAGAGAAAGAGGGCACGCTTCCTACCCTTTCCACCCTCTCTCGTTCCGCGCGCTCTTTCTACACCACCTGTTTCTGCTCCTCTCTCTCAGCCCCTCCACCCCTCTCCGCTGAACGCCCTTTCTCACATCACCTGCTACTGCACCTCCCGTACCTGCTGCTGGGGCCGTAGCTTTCTGGGAATCGTACTCGCCTTCCACGCCGGCGACCACCTTTCGATTCCTAATACCGGTTGCCGCTTTTTTTTAAATATTGTTTTAGCGGTTACGGACTGACCTACCTACATATTGGCATATAATTACGGTGAAGCGAGCAAAGTACTGAAAATCGAAGTGCCTCACTCTCTTCCCGCGTTAGCATTGCAGACTTGATTCAATTGAAAATAAAGGAACAGGGTAAACAGTAATATAAAATATGCTTATGTTGAAATGTTTCCTATATGCCTTCGAGTTATACCAGATACGAAGCAATCACCATGAGCCACCCGCTGTTCTTGGTAGTCTTACTGCTCATCAATCATTGCGGAGACGACAAAACTTGTTACAGGATGTACAATTTGTGCAGTGTTGACTAATATGAAAAAGGAATGGTTTTATCAGCGTTTGATACCGTACATTATTGTTTTTGTGAAACATTATCTTTCAAAGGCGGAGGCTTCATTTTGTACAATGTTAGTTCCTTACAAGGTATTCATTAAATAATTTAAAAAGGCTTATGCCTAGCCCTTTAAAAGTCTGAATCCAGTAGAGCTCTGATAATACAAACGGCGCCTGTTTTGGCTATATTCTGCAATTGCGGTTTGATATCAAGGAAATATACCTTACTCAGCCAAAATGCAATATACAGTCTACCGCAGAAGTGTTTACTACGCTGCTTCGATCAAAGATAGCTTCATTTGAAAAGTTTTGAGTAGAATTACAAAAGAAAATTTGATTGGATTACTTATAACTTTATATTTACTTCGGTATTTACAGCGCAGTGACCCCTACTCCAGAGCCAAAGCAACCTCCTGGTTCCAAGGGGCCGGAGTACCACAAGCCACAAACTAAGACTCGACTGAGACCCGAGGACAATTTGGTTTCTTCCGGTCGGGAGGAATGCTACGTTGTTCCACTTTTTATACTTGCACTACTTCTTCCGATGTGGGCACTTTAATTCAATGTTTGTGGGACTTCAATTCCACAATTTCGTTTGGTACTGAACAATGCATCATTTTAGTTCTAAAAGCCAGGTATTCGTTTAATGATTTATCATCAGCCCGGTACTCCTAGCGGGCGGGTATTTAGCTAGGGATTATTACTAAGTGAACGGAGGAGCATTCCTAGAGACATTGTGCAGGGAAAAGGCATATATACTAAGTAAAAAAATTGTTTAGGTGGAACGAGGCCTATATATCATACAAAGGTGGTAGGTATTTGCGCCTATGAGGCTTGGAGACGCGAGGTTCAGGAGTGTGCAATCCTAGCGTTACAACACATTCGACCAACTCCGACACGTTAAATAACCCTGCAGCTGCTGAGCATCTGCAAACTGTCTACAAAGGTCACTCAAATATGTGCATGAATGAATGAACGTCGGGAGTGTTGTCTTGACATCAAATTGGGGCTATGGTGCAGATACCTGCTCAAGCAAAATGCCCAGGTTTAAGTTGTAATATACAGTCATACAGCTGTACGGGCATAGTTATGCCATTCAATCAGAAGAATCGATATTCTTACGCTTCGCACTTAAATAAACATGTTCAAGCCAAAAATAAAAATAAATATGGCATATCTTAGTCTCTACAAAAGTGTGCTAAGTAAATCGTCACATAGACGCAGTGTTCGCCTTTTTTTCTTTTTTGAATATTTCTGCCACAGAAAACTTGTGGGCCTGCTTTTTTGCTTTCCGATGACAGACATGAACTGCGGTCGAAAAACCGAAGTGCACATTACCAAATACTTTTAGCTTAGGATAGGCGAGCCCCGAGCTTGCAGCAAGACTAAATCTTGCACTAGTTCAGGAGCTTCTGAACAAATCTGTCTAAGGAAGCTTCCTTGGATTTTCGGACCCTGCTCCAGCGACATTAGCCTTTCGGACCCTACTTCGGCAATATCTGAAATTGTACAATCTCGTGCAATATCAATATTGTCACATGCTTGTTTTCTATATAATTATTTCAACGCAATATTTGAGTTGAAACACACAACCGTAACGTAAATGTAACAAGGCGTTCCGATCTTAAAAACATAATGGGAGTGGGCTTATTTGACGACAATCGAACTTGTAACGGGAACGCGATGTATGATTGAGAAGCCTCAAGGAACGAAGTTTGGTTTCAATATTGAAGCGACATGTACAACACTGCCTAGATTTGAACGGATTGCACTAGCGCCTGTTGAAGGAATCATTCGCGATTACTAAACATGAAAACGCTGTATATAAGCCGTCATTGTCTTTGGGAGCAGAATTGAAGCGCTCTCTACATCTATAGTTTTGATAGCCCCTATTGTCATCGCGATCTTTTACGTGCTTAGTTTAGGAGTTTTTGAGGTGACCAATTGGTGTCCTTTCATCCAAGGTTTGCCCCCACTGGCCTTATTCTTGCAATGTTATCTGTGGTACAGCCCTCCAAGTTGACTCCATTGTGAAGGGCACAATGTCGTTTCATTCCTTTGTGTCAAACGAGAGTTGTGTGAGTGGGAACGTTCTTTCCCTTTCGTTCAGTTTGTTCAACCCTTATATAAGTGGTTCTGTGCACAATAAAATTTTAGTTGTGTTTGAGACGTTCTCTTCTCTCGGTGTCAACTTTCAATATTGAAGCGACATGTAGAACACTGCCTAGATTTGACCGGGTTGCACTAGCGCCTTTTGAAGGAATCATTCGTGATTACTAAACATGAAAATGCTGTATATAAGCCGTCATTGTCTTTGGAAGCAGAATGGAAGCGTTTTCTAAATCTATAGTTTTGGTAGCCTCTATTGTGTTCGCGATTTTTTACGTGCTTAGTTTAGGAGTTTGTGAGGTGACCTATTGAGGTCCTTTCATCCAAGGTTTGCCCCCCCTGGCCTTATTCTCGCAATGTTATCTGTGGTACAGCCCTCCAAGTTGACTCCATTGTGAAGGGCACAATGTCGTTTCATTCCTTTGTGTCAAACGAGAGTTGTGTGAGTGGGAACGGTCTTTCCCTTTCGTTCAGTTTGTTCAACCCTTATATAAGTGGTTTTGTGCACAATAAAATTTTAGTTGTGTTTGAGACGTTCTCCTAGTCTTCTCTCGGTGTCAACTTTCAATATTGAAGCGACATGTACAACACTGCCTAGATTTGACCGGGTTGCACTAGCGCCTTTTGAAGGAATCATTCGTGATTACTAAACATGAAAATGCTGTATATAAGCCGTCATCGTCTTTGGAAGCAGAATGGAAGCGTTTTCTAAATCTATAGTTTTGGTAGCCTCTATTGTGTTCGCGATTTTTTACGTGCTTAGTTTAGGAGTTTGTGAGGTGACCTATTGAGGTCTTTTCATCCAAGGTTTGCCCCCACTGGCCTTATTCTCGCAATGTTATCTGTGGTACAGTCCTCCAAGTTGACTGCATTGTGAAGGGCACAACGTCGCTTCATTTCTTTGCGTCTAACGAAAGTGGTGTGAGTGGGAACGGTTTTTCCCTTTCCTACAGTTTGTTCAGCTTTGTATAAAGGGTTCTGTCCGCAATAAAGTTCTAGTTGCATGTGAAACGTTCTCCTACTCCTCTATCGGCGTGAACTTTCGGATTTCCTCTGTCGCGGATTGCTTCAAAATGTTCAGTATATCCCGGCTTACTTGCCCCGTTACGTTCTGTTTACTAAAATTGCTAATTTTGGATAAGTATGGGGTTAGGTGTTTTTACTTGTCCTTCCAAACAAAGGCTTACACTTTGCTTAGAGGGGCATTAGTGAGCCTTTCTTTGGAAACGTTCTTTAGCATGAAATAAACTTCAACGTCTTAAAATTGTAATTCTATTTAATTTAATTTCAAAAGATTTCTTTTTTGCATTCTTTTAAATTGGAACGCATTTGTTACTCTTTTGGTATTTTTACTGCCGTTTCTTGTATCTACACGTCACTTCCTAGACCAGTAGAAGATTTAAAAGTCGCGACGTTTTTGCAACTAGAATTAGATTGTGCCGATTCTAAAAACAAATCAAAGACGTTTACAATTCCCTGTAAGCCGAATTAGAGCGCAGCTCTTGAAAAGGAAGAGGGATGCCTTTGTGGTGACCTTCACAAGTGACCGTGGCGCCACGCGTGACGTCATTATGGGAAACGTCCCACGATGCAACGTGCGAAACCCTCGTGACGTCACGTGTCACGTCATTATGGGAAGTCCCATAATGCAACGGGTGAGTCACGAGCGAGACCCGCGAGTTGCGTCATGGGACGTTTCCTATAATGCAAAAGTTGAGGCTTGGGCTAGTTGGTGCGGCATATTTCGGGATTAAAAACAGCGCAAAATACGAAGGCCCAGACGCAGAAGTAACACGGACGCAGCGTTGAGTTACAGCTGAGTTTATTGATCGCAAAATCGCAATATATACATGCGTTGTCACGAACAAAAAAGAAAGAAAAGAAACTAAAGGAGGAATTCAGCCCACGTGATACATCGCCAACAAAAAAGGCGCAAGTACTATCCTGGACACTGTTAGCTATAACACCGCAGCTGCGGCCGTCCCGTACCCCCAGCGCCTCATAGCAGGCGCCGTCCGAAACTCCGCGCATGCGCCGTGTGGCAGACTCGCTCTTCCCGTTTGCGAGCACACCCTCGCTTTGTCGTCTGCTAGGCGCAGAGCAGGCGATGCCACAGTGCTGCTCGTCTGGTACCCTGGCCCTAGCGAACTGGTCTTAAACTCATTTTAAACCGGCGATTTTGATTGGGGGAGATTGCAGAGTCATTGAGGCATTAACCCTGTCTATGTTTTTTTTTTTTTTTTTGCTTTTTCAGAAACAGGATTTCGCAATCCAACTTTCACAATATGCGCTCGCAAACCAGTATGAGCGCAGCAGGTGTGATACAGAAATAGACTTATACTCCGTTTCACCTAAAGTCCGAATGCAGCGTACGCTACAAAACGACATAGCCAATCAAATAGCGGCAAAGGTGCAATGTCGCGGAGTGCATCACCGGGGGACAGAATAAGGTGCAAAAAGTGAGCTTTTGTCGCTTTTGGTTGGCCCTATCGTCTCGTAGCGTCCGCTGCGCCTAGACCTAAAGTGAAACGGAGTATAACTGCAAGTTTATCCCATAAAAAAAAAAAAAGAAAAAGTAGTCTACCGTGATATTACGATTAGTGGCGATGATCATAGCCAGCAGAGTCAGGGAATCAACCGTGGACACCTCTTACCCGGTTGTTTGCTGAACCGTGTTCAGGGAAAATTGGCAAGCGCTGTGGCGTCGTCTGCTCTGTGCCTAGCAGACGACAAAGCGAGGGTGTGCTCGCAGGTGGGAAGAGCGAGTCCGCCACACGGCGCATGCGCGGGGTTTCGGACGGCGCCTGCTATGAGGCGCTGGGGGTACGGGACGGCCGCCGCTGCCGTGTTATAGCTAACAGTGTCCACGATAGTACATAGCCGTGTAGAGCACGTGTTAAAAAACAAGCAAGTCAAAGAACTAGAAATTTAGTCTCTTAGCCTGATAGGGCCACCGAAGAACTGCTTACACATACCGCGCCCAACCTCGCTATCTCAACAGCCTCCAGAATTTCACGAGTAAGCTGGTCCCTGTGACGCACAACAACCCAAAACTGTTGCCAGTCGGGTAGTTAACCCCAGTCGCGGCAAGTGCCTTTCGCCACTTGCTTTGACTCATGAGTTGCCTGGGGCAGGATGTATCCGATTCCCGGATTTGATCTTAATTGTTGTCCAGGCCATGATTGTTGGGGCTATGAACCACGTGCTGGAAAGTCACTGTTGACATTGGAGTCCGCTCACTCGAAAATTGTCAAGCGGGCTATCGCGAGGACTTGCTATACGCATGCTCTGCGGAGGTCTTGTTATCACAAAATTTAACATAGCTCTGAGAGGCAAACTAAACGCCTCGCAGATGCTGGCCCTCCCCACGTGTTAACAGCGGTCGCCGAGTCTCTGCTCAAAGATATCAAGCGCAGGCTTGTGACAAGTAAAAAAGAGGCCAACAACAGCAAGGGAAGGGAAAAAAGAAAGTTTGTTGTACTTCCCTTTATACACGGGCTTGGCCCACAATCTGAAACGCACTGCGCGCGCAGGTGTAACGTCGACGTGTTATTCTCTGCTCCGGAGAAGTTGTCAAGGTCGTGCAGAGCCGTTAACCCCTCTTCGAGGGAGGCCACGGCTTGCAACACGAGGCATCGGGATCGCTTCGTCGCGTGTTCTGAGCGGGTTGTTTATTCTCTCCCTCTGACGTGTGGCAAGCGTTACGTTGGCCAGACGGGCCGCTGTCTCAACAAGCACGCCACCAGTGTTTCCACAATCGCGTCTGGTCATCTTGGCGCTCACTGCCGCGACTGTGGTTGCCTACCCGACTTCCAACGGTGTGAGGTTGTTAAGCGTCACAGGGACCAGCTTACTCGTGAAAGTTTGGAGGCTGTTGAGATTGCGAGGTTGGGCGCGGCATGTGTAAGCAGTCCTTCGGTGGCCCTATCAGTCAAAGAGATTAATTTTCTAGTTCCTTGACTTGCTTGTTTTTTTTTTTTTAACACGTGCTCTGTTCGGCTCTAATGTATTTGACTGGACATTGCATGACTCATGTAATGTCCAGTCGATCGCTTTTAGGCTTAGTTTAAGAATTGAACAATTGATAATATTTTATTTAAGTTATATACCATTTTGTTAATAGAACATGCTAGCAAAATATACCTCTAATGTACACGGTGATGAAGACTATAATGAATTAAACGGGACGGTGTTTCATGTAAACAGAACACTTACTTTGATAAGCAATTCAAATTAAACCGAACACTCATCACAATGTCTGTATTGTCTCACTGTACGAACGTATTATATAAAAAGATAATACAGCATCAAAGGTTGTGTATGGCCTACTATTAGTAACGCTAGCAGGGACACTCACCTTCTAGCTTGGACAAATTTCACGGAACAGTATATACTGAACTGTACATATTTATTTAAACAACCAGCATCAACATCTGGCATGCCGTTAAATTTTTCGAGAACTAATATTATCCAGAGCAGGCTCCAAGTAAAGGGGAAATTCTATTTCTTCAAACTCTCAAAACAGGAATATAGCATGGCAACATGCCAGTCCAACTCTCTCGAAAGTGCATTCGTACTCAAACCAAAGAATTGCTTTACAAGAAATTAAAAAAAAGTACATTGTGAACAAATTTTTGGACGGCGTCAAGAGCGAATTTTAGCACTAAACCACCAATGGAAGGGGAAAAGCAGCTACCTCTACAATACAGTGAAATAGTAGTAAAATATTAGCGACAAAAATTCAACGCAATAATAATATTAGGATAAATAAAAAAATTAATGGGACAATGTCGCGTGCTGGATTACAAGATTAAGTTGGAAGTGCAAGCTTACAAACGCGCACTTCATACTTAATGCAGTTAGCGGATCATAGATTGTGATCTGGCATTAAAATATTCAATACCGTTGTGCTTGTAAGCTCCCCAGAAACGTTTCGGAAACGTAAATGATACACCCGTTGGCCGTCGGGACTATGCTTCTATCAACACTTTCAATCTAGTCTGAAACAGCTGTCTAGTTGGAACGCTCGAGCGTTCGGAAGTTCTGTTGGAATGGCGTTGTTATTCGAGCAGCCAGTAATTACTCAGCCGGAGCCATATTTACGAGAAGCCCTTAAAAGGCTCAGTCGTAATCGACAAGCAAGGAAGCCTGCGGATTATTTACCGGGAATAAAACAACCACGTACGTATCAACTGTTTCACCTTAAAGTCACTGCATGCACGCTGAGAGTGAAACGGGTTATTTAATTTTGAAAAAAACAACACAGACGCACACACACCTGCTGATCATGACATTCTAAGTATCGAAACTTTAGCACCTGTTATTGGAATACTGAGACTAACTGCTACTGCGATGCAAACATAACTGGAATAACAACATTGGCGCAATTAACCCGACTGGGCACGTTCAGCCCCTAGGGAAGGGAGACCTTGACTGTGGTGAACCAACGATAATAAGAGCGAAACAAATAATAAAACAACACAACATAAGCAGGTATTTATCTATCTGTACCCCGAGCTTCGCACAGTTTCCTTCAGGAGAATGTGCGTTTGGCAAGGGTACCGCTGATCTCGACGGCATTTCGCACTTTGTCAGAACGATGAATGTACTGATGCCCCAAGTTTGCCGAACTGCACAGTTCAGAAACGTCTTGCAGGTATTCATCTTGTATGTAATGGTGTACTTCGCCGACTCCACAAAACCCGTGGCAGGAGATGTTCCCATCGTTCGCACGGATTTAGGCCTCGTCGCCGGGGAGCGCATCACAATCGGCGACCGAATGGTGGACGCTTTCTTGGGAATCCCGTACGCCAAACCACCCGTTGGAGACCTTCGGTTCAAGAAGCCTCATCCAGTCGCAGCTTGGAACGGCACGTACAACGCCACAAGAAAGCCAACTCCGTGTTGGCAGCAAAACGTCCGGTTCCGAGACGCGGAAACGGATTATTCTGATTCCTCAGAAGACTGCCTATACCTCAACATCTGGCGAAGGTCTTTCTACTGCGAAAACAACTACAACTCGTGTGGCAAGAAACGGCCAGTCGTTGTTTTTATTCAAGGGGGGGCCTTCCAGTGGGGAGACTCAGGATTATTTGTGTACGATGCGGCCAACTTTGTGTCTCTAACAGATGCCATCTACGTAACTTTCAACTACCGCCTCGGAATTTTCGGTTTCCTGTCGCTGGAGACGCCTGAGCTGCCTGGTAACATGGGACTATGGGATCAAAATTTGGTACTCAAATGGGTTAAGAAAAATATTGAGCACTTTGGAGGTGATCCAGGTGATGTCACGATCAACGGTCAGAGTGCGGGGGGAATATCTGCAGGAATGCACGCCGTTTCTCCTCACAGTAAGGGCCTCTTTAAGCGAATCATCATGGAGAGTGGAACACCGCTCTCCATAATCCTCGGAATATCTTACAAAGGTGCTGGGAAATTTACTTCTGTGACCAGCGCTCTTGGATGTTATGACTTCAAGCGAAGCTTCGAGGCCCAAACTAGAGATGTGATTGACTGCTTAAAAAAATTGGACGCAGCGTTCGTCTATAAAATCTTGAAGTCATTGGATTTGGCTCAGCAGATATTTGTTCCCGTACACGGAGATGACTTCCTTCCACACCATCCGCTTATGGAACAAACTTGGAAACACCTTGAGTTCAAGGAACTTCTCCTTGGAACCAATTTGAACGAAGGAACATTGTTTTTTGATAACCTTCAGTACACGTTTCCGGCTCTAAAGCACCTCTTGACAGGTGACTATCGACTTGCGGTCACAGTTGCCCTCGGACCTGCCTTTGATATCCCAGTTTCACAAGCACGACACATCGTGCGTTATTACTTTGGTGATTATAATGTCGAGCACAACAGCCGGAGCGTCGGAGATATATTCAGTCGAATCTTCGGAGACGCTGTCTTCAACTGTCCGACCCAGCTGTTCGCCGACCTCGCTGCAGAGCAAGGAATAAGCACCTACAGGTACATGTTCGCGTACCGGCCGTCCTTCAGTGTGTGGCCAGAATGGATGGGCGTTGTCCACGCGGACGAGCTGGCGTTCACTCTTGGATCCTTGCCATTTGCGAAAGATGAAACTAGACACACCAAGCAACTGGGAGCGCGTTTAAGGAAACTTTTGTTAAATACAACATACACGGCAGAAGAAGAAACGTTCATGAGGCGGCTCGTCAGTGCATGGAATTCCTTCGTTCGAAATGGGTAAGTAATTGATTATAAATTCTTAAAAAGCTAGATACGAGTACGTCACTGCCGTCCAGTTTATTTTATATTTTCTCATTAAACGTGCTTGCTTCAGATCTCTGGTTGCCTTTCAGAACTTTCCTTAACATAACACAGCTATATTTTCTGACGGCTGGTGGTATTTGTTTTTCACAGGAAATATCACAATTGTTTTGAGAGGTGAAAGACATCAATCAAAGTTAATTGTTGATTTTGAAAATAGTGATAATTAAAAAAGTGTTTCATTAGAATTTAAAAGGTATATTTTTCTGTCATATAAACTACATTCATCAGGAACTTGACGTAAATGAAGCCAAAAGGGCTCTTCGATATACAGTGATGTGTCGTTAAGAAGAAGCCGGTGAATACGGATGCCCCGGTATATAGACACATATGTCAGGGACAAACTAGCCTTATAATACATACATTTTTGTCTAATTATCATGAACAAACTATTTTCATGCGTCACGAAACGTTAAAGAAAACTTTTATTTTTCTTTGGCAAGAACCATCCTAGATTACGCGTGCGTTGTGTAGTACCCTTATCGCGACTTCCTTATTAATAAACTAGAGAAAATTCAAAATCAGGCCGCATGTTTTGTACTGAAGAACTATGACCGTTATGCAAGTGTTACCGATATGAAAGCTATGCTGGAATGGGAAACACTCGAATGTAGAGGGAAAAAAAACTAAGACTAAAATTCTTTCACCGTGTCTTTCACAACAAAACAGGAATTGAAAAAAGCCATCTATCATATGGAGCCGTTTTACGTCTATTGCCGTTTGATCATTTTAAAAAGGTTGCTGATCCCGCTTATAGGACGGACAGTTTTGCTAATTCATTCTTTGTCAGAACCGCGAGAGAGTGGAACGACCTCCCGGAAAATATTCTGTCCATTGATGACAATGACGTTTTCTTTTTCCACTGGTCATGATGTTTTCTTGAACACCCCCTACAATAATGCCCACAGGGCGATGTACGTACAATGTAAATAAATAAATAAATAACAACTCATATTGGTAACGATCCTTTGGCGGAACGGAGGTTTCCAAATGAACGAAACATCACTGTCATTGTTTTAAGAAACAGGTACCCCGATTAAGCACTAACCGGATATCGAGGGGGGCGGAAGGGAATTTCGATAAAATTTAAGAGATGTCAGATACATATACCCGCTAGGTTGAGATAGGTGAAATACCTGGCACACTTACCAAGATTTCCACGCGCTCTAATCAGGTGTTGGTATAAAGGGAAAGTTGAAAGTGCGAGTTCGTGAAAAGAGAAGTCGCTCGAGTTTAAAATTCTTGGAAGGTGTTCACATAAAGATTCGTTTTTGTCTGGTCTGACCTTTTTTTACGCCTCCCTCAGGTCCAGTCATTCAGCTCTCACATTCATCTCGTACAGGAAGATATGGGAGCTTGACTTACCGCCTTTTCTCGAGCAGAACTCTGCGAGTATAAATTTTCACTTTCAATCGACTAGACCCCCTAATGTCCCTTTTTCTCTTCCTATAGAAAAAAAAAAAAAAACACATTGTAAGAAAATGAATAAAAAAAAAAAAAAGCCCACAGTAAGCTTAGTTTTCGCTCATTAATATTTATGTGGCGTCCTTTTCCACAACGGCACAGCCATCTTGAATATCGTCACTTCTGGTATGGGGTAAAACACCATTTTGATCTTTTTACGCCGCTGGAAGGTGTTTACAAAACCGCGTAATGCGTCATTGTCACACATTCTTGTTTTGCCTCACCCAGAATTATTCTCTCTCGCATATTCCGGGTTGAAACATTTTATTATTTTTTCGCCTCGCATACCAAATACGGAACCCGCGTGATTAGAACGAAAGGAAACAGAAAATGTCTATAGTCGGTGACAGCCTAGAATGCAGTAGGTATTGTTTTATATCCAGTGTGCAACGCTTTGAAAGCTTCTGGCGTGTGCATGGGGATCGATCACCCAGATCATCTGCACGCGTTCTCGCGCAAACGAAACGAGAGATAAAGCCACGCGCTCGCGCCAGTAGCTTTTGCAGCCTTGCGGTCGCATACTAAGTATGAAAGAGAAGCGATGGCGGAAGACAACGGTTGCGTGCTGGGGGCGGAGCTTCTAATGCATTCTTTGCATATGTAACCGACTATACACATTTCCATAAAAGCGTATGACGGCGCGTTCATTGCTGTGTGTATGTGTGTTGTGCACGCGCAGTTTGTGACTGGCCGGAATAGACTTATTGATAAATTACCCAAGCATCAACAATAATTTCGGGAATGTAGGTACACGCGCCGAACGCGCTCGCCTTCCGCCTATAGACAATTGCAAGCGTGACGTCTCACTGGTGCTCTATGCGTGCCATCATGTACAGCGTTCGCATGAACGTGGCTTTGACAAGCTGTCAAAGCCACGTGACGCTACTGACTGTCACCCTTCATAACTGCTGCGTCAGAATCAAGGGCTTCTGGGCGACCGCGCCGCAACCTTCAACTTCCAGTTTCTGAAAGAGTTGCTCTTGCATATCCTTCCACCGTCGCTGCAGATTATTCTTGCGACAGCATCGGATCTTTCTTTGTCTGCTTTGGCTCTTTACGCAGATAAGATCATGGAAGTCGCCATCTAACATCATGTAGCCCCTCGAAGCCCTCCTTCAGACCAACAAGGCCGCAAGAGTATCCATCATAACAGCACAAAAACTACATTATATTCATATATCTCAAGATGTGATTATGAAATTCCTGCCAAAGCCAATATTTTAAATATTGGTGTTTTATGACAGTTATTCAACAAACTCTATATAAGCGGGCTCATATGCAGCATGTACTAAAGCGGACAAAGTGAGCTGAAAAACTCGCTTTGCTTCTTTGGCGTGCATGCCAGTTTTTCTAGAGAGATGTGGTACGAACAATGAAAGAATGCGAGGTTGAGGTTTCATACTTATTAATATTTGGCAAATTGAGAAATCTTCAAGCTTGTGGGGACCGCAAACATAAACAAAAAGAGGATCGGCATTTTCAGCTCAAATTGTCCGCGGGGGTGCTCTAACAATTAGAACCCACTTTAAACCGTCCGCAAAATTAGGTTTCTTAACGTGTCCCGCTGGCGATTTACTACAGATGTGCGACTTGGCGATGGAAGCTTGGAGTGAAAATATCCACGGATGACTTTACCTCGTTCAGAAAAAAAAAAAAAAGCTTGTTCCGCGTAATCTACTGCGGCATTTGCAGACGCTGCCATAAAGGTGCTTACCGGCTTCTAAGTGCTGCCGGAAGATGGTGTAAATGACACTACGAGAGGAAGCGGCGCCTCGTTCGATCATGGCCGCACAAGAAATGAGGTCTTCAAGGTGATTAAAACATATTTTCTCGTATTTAGTTTATAAAACAAAATATCGGTGTGGAAAAATTGTTTCTTGTAGAACCCGTGTGCGCTCAGGAAGCGCAATCAAAACTTTCGAAAGATCGTTTGTTAAGCTCGGCGAAGCGGCATCCTTGACGCTTCCGACATCTGCCGGCAGCATGGCGTGTACCTGACTCACCGTCTGCGAGTGCCGCCGTAAATTGCCCAAAAAGAGTTTTTTTTTTAATTTTTGATCAAGGTAAGTTTTTTGCTGATATTTTCAATACTCACTTCTGCTACGTAGACCTACCTCCGTAGTATATCGCAGCGCGATAAGTTGAGAAACTGATTTTTGTGGAGCATCTAAAGTGAGCTCGAAGTTCTATATAACATGCTGCAAAGTATGTCCACTATGATTTGTTGCTGAATGTTGTGTCTACTTTATATTTAAACTTGTGCAGAGAAATGCAGAACGGGATGAAACAGGGCCTCTGGTGTTTTTATCCGTTCTTAGGCCTCTCATGTCATCGAGCATTATTATTTTACACATAAAAAAATAATTCTTGTATAATTACAATTGTACCCTAATATTATTCGTAAATATCTGTGCAGAAAGCCAGTGATTCCAGTGCCTGGCATTGACTGGCCTTTGTACAAGGCGGAAAGTTCGAAGTTGTTGTACCTCCGTCCCGGCAACTACACTGTTGCACGGGACTCATCGCGGGACATTTGTGAGCTTTGGCGGCCATTCCTACTAAAGAAGTAAGTTGTGTGATAGCGCTTTCATGCCATTTATTATTTTTTAGTTCCCGTATAAGGACGATGTTCTCTTTGCCCACAAACGTATACTTTGTGTCGCGATGGAAACTGGTAATTTCTGTGTTGAGAGTTGGGGGCTTCTGAGAAGTCAACGAAGCACGTGCGACAACAGTACTTTAGTCCCTTTGCTGAATCATTATCGCCACCTGCTGGTGCCTGATATGTATTATATAATTACTTGGCAGTTTATTGCAGAAGTGTAGTAAGTTGGGCGAGTTGGTATGATAACATGATGAACAGAACAGCGCACACAAAGACAAGGACAGAGAAAAGGAACATGCAGGACACACAAGTGCTGACTCGCAACTGAATTTATACACAAAAGAAAGAAGAAGAAACCGTTCTGAAAGACACGCAGGGCACGCAGTGCTTATGACACGCGACACAACACCATCTAACTGCAATGTCTTTGCCCCACAGTCCCTTCTAAAACAAGGTTTCAGTGTTTAGTAGTGTCACTGATGGGTGGCTGACGCAGCAGTCCTTCAGGCTGTTGATGCAATGTGCTTCTAAGATTTCGCGAGTTGTCTTGTCTCGATAGTGTCCAATTATTGTTGTGCCTTTTAGAATCGGAGCACACGAGCAGGAATTGCAGTGAACGGGAAGGTGACCACCCACCGTAGATTTTAGCGAACGATCACGCTCGAGAAGGCGATCGTTTAGGCACCGTCCGGTTTGGCCCACATAGCATTTACCACACGTTAATGGGATTTTGTACACCACGCCAATTGAACATGGCACATAAGGGTGGCTGTGGCGTTTCTGGCACTTGCCTTTGTTGAGGTTATCCGCTATCGAGCGAACCTTTGAACAGATTTGCGCCATTCTTTTTGGAGCCGAAAACACCACAGGCACATCGTACCTTTGGGCTGCTCTTTTTAAATTATGAGAGGTTTTGTGCATGTATGGTACAACAACCTTTCGTTTCTGTGGATCTCGAGGTTTCTGTCTCCGAATCCCTTTAGTCTTGCGTACTAAGACCGCCACCACCTCGTTTAAGACCTGTGATGGAAAGCCCGACTTTTGGAGCCTCTCAACTTGAGCATTAAAACTTTCACGAACAGTGTGAAAGCAGGACTTCGTAAGTGCAGCCCCAAGTATGGTAACCGCAATCCCCCTTTTAACAACTTTCGAATGTGCGGATGTGTAGTGAAGGATGCCCTTTTTTGACCTAGGAGAGAAACTCCTAGGTCAAAAAAGGGCATCCTTCACTACACATCCGCACATGCGAAAGTTGTTAAAAGGGGGATTGCGGTTACCATACTTGGGGCTGCCCTTACGAAGTCCTGCTTTCACACTGTTCGTGAAAGTTTTAATGCTCAAGTTGAGAGACTCCAAAAGTCGGGCTTTCCATCACAGGTCTTAAACGAGGTGGTGGCGGTCTTAGTACGCAAGACTAAAGGGATTCGGAGAAAGAAACCTCGAGATCCACAGAAACGAAAGGTTGTTGTACCATACATGCACAAAACCTCTCATAATTTAAAAAGAGCAGCCCAGAGGTACGATGTGCCTGTGGTGTTTTCGGCTCCAAAAAGAATGGCGCAAATCTGTTCAAAGGTTCGCTCGATAGCGGATAACCTCAACAAAGGCAAGTGCCAGAAACGCCACAGCCACCCTTATGTGCCATGTTCAATTGGCGTGGTGTACAAAATCCCATTAACGTGTGGTAAAAGCTATGTGGGCCAAACCGGACGGTGCCTAAACGATCGCCTTCTCGAGCATGATCGTTCGCTAAAATCTACGGTGGGTGGTCACCTTCCCGTTCACTGCAATTCCTGCTCGTGTGCTCCGATTCTAAAAGGCACAACAATAATTGGACACTATCGAGACAAGACAACTCGCGAAATCTTAGAAGCACATTGCATCAACAGCCTGGGGGACTGCTGCGTCAGCCACCCATCAGTGACACTACTAAACACTGAAACCTTGTTTTTAGAAAGGACTATGGGGCAAAGACATTGCAGTTAGATGGTGTTGTGTCGCGTGTCATAAGCACTGTGTGCCCTGCGTGTCTTTCAGAACGGTTTCTTCTTCTTTCTTTTGTGTATAAATTCAGTTGCGAGTCAGCGCTTGTGTGTCCTGCATGTTCCTTTTCTCTGTCCTTGTCTTTGTGTGCGCTGTTCTGTTCATCTTGGCAGTTTATTGTTTGGTTCACACCTGTTTCAGTGGGTGACTCCACTGAGTTTACTAATAAATAAATTTGTGTTCTTCCACGAAAGTTCCTAGTAATAACTTGGACTTCACCATGAAAAGAATATCCCGATTTCAAATAAACATCACAGACGTGTCCAGAAACACACGTTGGGAGTTCAGATCACATTTCTTTCGGTTTGACTAGCGAGGCTTGAATTGCGCGCCGACCACATCATTCGTGAATTGTGCACCGAACAATTTAGCTGTCTTACAGCGCCGACCAGATTAATCGTGTGCCAATGGGCTGTGGTTTAGTCCTTTCCACAAAGTAATTTCCCGCTGCGTTCTGTAGGATGTAACACCTATTTCTTTTTTTTTTTTTATTTATGCAAGTCTGCCACACATTGTAACCATGCGTGTTCTCTTACGTTAGCCGTTAGAAAAATTAATAAGGGGGAGGGGTATGTCTTGCTTTCATTTTTTTACGTTCCGTTGAGTTATGGAAACGTGAGAGAAAGAAGCACAGCGAAACATTGTAAAGAAAAGTTCTAACATATTATTAAGCATATATGTTTTTAAGAGTAAAGGCCCGTTCACAGACTTGCGATTTTTTAGAATCGAGTGCCTTGAAACCTCTTAAAATGTCTTACAATGAGAGCCTGGCGTCTCCTATCGGATAAGAGTGGAACACTTGGAGGTCCCGTACATTTTCTATTTCTTTCGGCGCTTTGTGCTTTTTTCTTGGCTCGAAAATCTTTTGTCAATGATATAAACAGCCATTTTTCATGAGTTGATACATTCATTTGACCTCTCAAATTAAAAAAAAATATACTTTTAGTGAAGTGCAGTTCCAGGGTCGCCACATAGATGACGCCAAGTGCCAGTGTGTTCTCCAGCCGTAATAGGTATTACGAAGCTTTAAAGGGATACTACAACGAAATTTCGGTGTTAACTCCTTGGTCTATTACTGTTCAAGGGAGCCAGTGTCACATCAGACACACCAATTGCTTGATGAAAAAGACACCAAAAAGGAATTTTTAAACGAATTAAACGATTAGCAAAGAGCACCTGGTGGATGTCACTAACGCCTCGATTGTGATGCCCGTCTAGTAACCTTGGCAGGTAGTGACGATAACTGTCTCACCACCGGCCACCACGAGAGCAGTGGGGGAGAAGGAACTCCCATCTCTCCGAGTCTCTCTTTTGTGGATATCAGACGTCGCATTTGTCCCTCTAAAAGATTATAGGAGATAACCCGTCACTCAAAATTCGTACAAAAGCAGCTTTGGAATTACTAGCGGTGGCCCGAACGCTGGCGCGCTTCGGGAACTTCGGTGTCTGGAACGGCTAGGACATCTCTTGACGTCCGCCCCGTCGTAGCTTTGCTCGTCCCGAGAGAATCTACGCCACGATTGCAGCGAATGTCACGTGTTCTGCGCTGGTTGCTCTCCGAGCGCTTGTAAGAGCGGTCCGTTTTTAACGAAAAATAAAGTCATCAGGCTTAAAATAGAAACGTGCGATTCCCATTTACGAATATTGGGGATCATATTCAGCCTATTTCTGTACACGACGGGTATATTTCAAATTTCGTTGAAGTATCTCTTTAAATGTATGCTACAACGAACTTTCGGTGCATATTTCTGGTCTATTCGTGTACAAGTAAGCAGTATCACATCAGACACACCAATCTCTTGACGAAAAAGACACGAAAAGGAATTTTTTTAAATAATTAAACGATTAGCAAAGAGCCCCTGGTGGATGTCGCTAACGCCTCGTTTGTGTTGCCCGTCTAGTAACCTTGACAGGTAGTGACGAAAACTGTCTTGCCTCCGGCCACCACGAGAGCAGTGGGGGAGGAGGAACTCCAATCTCTCCGAGACTCTCTTTTGTGGATCTCAGACGTCGCTGTTGTCCCTCTACAAGATTATAGGTGATAACCCGTCACTCAAAATTCGCCCAAAATCAGCCTTGGGGTTAGTCGCGGTGGCCCGATCGCTGACGTGCTTCGGGCACTTCGGTGGCTGGATCGGCTAGGGCATCCTCTCGACGTCAGCCTCGTCGCAGCTTTGCTCGCCCCGAGACTATCTAGGTCTCGATTGGGGCGGATGTCACGTCCAAGCGCTTGCCAGAGCGGTCCGTTTATAACGAAAAATACAGCCATCACGCTCAACAAACAAACGTGCGATTGTCATTTACGAAGTTTGTGGATCATATTCAGCCTATTTCTGAACATGACGGTTATATCTGTAGCTTCGTTGAAGTATCTTTTTCAGGTGCTCGGTTCTAAAGATTGGAACGTGTGTGAACGGGGCTTAAGTCTAAGCGCAGTTGGCTCATAGCGTAGGCTCACAGCGACGAGAAATTTGGCGCCCAGAGGGCGCCGAATTTACAGCGTCACGGCATTTGTAATCTTGCGGGCTTCCGCTCTAATCAAATAGATCAACCAAGCGCAGTAAGGACGCAGTAACGTTGCCTTTTTAAAATGTGTGTTGTCGATTTTCTAGCTTTTTGACTGCGCTCTTATTTATACTGAAACAGAGTTCGAAGCTTGAAAAAAGCTTCATATTGAGCTCGTAAGAAACTCAACGCTTTGGGTAGGCATAGGTAAATCTAACTAACTTTGCTGGGTATATCGATGTCTGTGGTGCATCGCTCCTTGTTGAAAGAAAATGGGTGCGAGTGTGCTCCGCTTAATTAACAAAGAAATTATATATTTGCTATGCTCATAAAGTAAAACGTAACAATAGCTGAAATACAAAAGCGCTAAAATATGTAAGATGCCATGAGCTATGTTATACTTTATTTTATAACGGT